AGAAGACTGATGAGAGATGCAGCCAAGAGTCCCATGATCACTGGATGAACTGCAGAGATCTACAGCTGAGGAGGGAGACTCCGTCCATAGGACAACAATCAGTCCTATATTGCACAAATCTGGCCTTTATGGAAGAAAGCAATTTCTTAAGGATATCCCTAAAAACTCTTTATGAAAGTTTGCCACATGCCATCTGGGAGACACACACAGCAAACATGGAAGAAAGTGCTCTGGTCAGATGAAACCAAATTCAAACTTTTTTTTGCAACAATGCAAAAGATTATGTTTGGTGTGAAAGAAAAACAGCTCATGACCCCTGAACACACCACCGGCACTGTCCAACATGGTGGTGGAAGCATCATGCTTTGGGCCTCCTTTTCTTCAGCAGGGACAGGACATATTTTTTTCCAACAAGACAATGATCAAAAGCAAAGAAAAAACTGCAATGGAATGGTTCACGAATAAGCATACCCAGGTGTTAGAATGGCCAAGTCAGTGCAGACCTGAATCCAATTGAAATCTGTGGAAAGAACTGAAAACTGATGATCACAAACACTGTCCATCTAACCTCACTGAGCTTGAGCTGTTTTGCAAGGAAGAATCGGCAAGGCTGGAAAATTTTAATTTTTTACCATCAGGGTATCCAAAAAATGTAGATAATGTCTTCAGTTGATAATAATATATTCATAAATGGTATTGTGCTTGTATTGCCTGATATACTTTAGATTTAATGGTAGGACTAAAAGTCTAAATTTTAAAATAAGGATCTAATTTCTATTGTCTGGAACACTTGACAAAAGTTTTGCACCCTTAAGTCTGATTATTTAGGGAGCTGCAAATGGGTATGAAGAATAAAAATATTGCACAGGACGATTGAATTGATGACACAAAAAATGTTGAAACTACTCAACAGCTTTCAGATTGTTTTTCTTTTAATGTGGAGGTGGACAGAATGTTTAGGTGAAAAAACCCCCCAGCCTTTTAGGCATATAGGTTGACTTTTTTTCTCCTCTATTTTGGATGTGGGTTTGGTTTTGGATAGGGACAAATTTGAATAACTAAAATAATAATGTTTCAGTGTGATTTTTTTTTTTATGTAAAAGCAATAAGCAAAATTTTTAATAATTTGGCAAATTTAGAGAGGCTTTGAGAGGCTGGTGACACCAGAAGTTAAAAGTCTCATACCTACAGTAGATGTCTGAAATTTTCTGCATTTATGGTTGACATGATGCAGAATAAAGGTAATACAACGATACATGCCAATTATTAAGCATGTCTTTGTTACTGATATTCAAAAAAGACCTATTTCTTTCTAGAAGAAAAAAAAAAAACATTGAGTCATGTTTTTACTTCTACAGTTTAGGCTATGTTTTAGTCACATTATCTTTATTTAGATTCTTAGAAACTAGAAGGTGTTAGATTTCAAATAATTTATCACACATGTAATTCAGGGTTACAGTTCCCCAGGTATTTGCTTTTCCATTTGGGTATACAAAAAGCGGAGGATTACTTAAAATTAGCTGGATGTTATGCAAACTCAAAATTTGACCATTGAAGACACAGATACTTTTCAAATGACAGTCCCAGCTCTTTATTCAAGGAAAAAAACTTTTCAACTTGCTTAAACATAATTTGAAGCCCTCAGGTTTTTAACCAATACAAATTGGCATTTAGAAATTCCTTAACTGACCAGTAGGGGGAAGAGCAGGACATTTTATATTTTTTTGTTCTAACTTCATAAATGGGAAGAGTTTTTAAATAGTATTGAGACAGAAAACACTTATTTGTTATACCATGTTATTAGCTATTTGTTATAAAACAATTTATCTTAAAATATTAATCTTAAAATTCAGTGGGACATAAATGTAAATATGAATTTATTGCCTACTTGTGAGTAAACACAAATCTTTTGATTAAAAAACACCCTGCTACACCTTTTGAAGGTCACAAAATATTTTTGTGTTAATTGGAACAGCCTAGTTATTTTCATTACTGATATCTTATCTATATAAGGTTCTTTAAGAAAGTTGCATGAGGCTCTTTCTGTAGTCTATTTCTCATATACAGCATTGCTGACATTAGGTGAGATAGGACATTTTAACTACAAGATTAATTCTTATCTTTCCTGAATCTGATTACAATGATCTAATTGTTTTTTTATGGTGCGGGTGGATGGGGAGTGTTTAGGTCAGAAATACATTCAAGATTTTCTTGTTATTTATTTGTTTTAAAAGATGTAAAGAAACTGGACAAAAATATTGTTAGTTTAAGACTGTTCAGCACAGCCCCAAACACTCTCTGTTTCTGTCTATTATCACTTATTGCACCCAGCACATTTCTGCAAACCCCTGCTGCGGTGCTAAACTGACATCCTCTCTCAGAAAAATTCTTTCTCATTGTCCTCATCCTTGGAAACAGTAGTTTGCTTATTTGGCCTAAATTACCATATAATATTTAGCAGCTGGAGAGTTGGACACTTTTTTATACCAGTGTACAAAAAAAGAATTACAAAATAAGAAAGCAAAAGAATGAAGAGATCAGATATCTTGAAGGCATTGTAACCGCAATGTGAAACCTACGTTTTCAAATTAGCAGAGCTTAACATTAATGGAAAAAACTATACCTAGCATATTGATATATTTGTATAAGCTGAACTAGGTCAATTTGACAATGATGGGGACTTCAACAATTATGACTAACTGGCTTCATACTTTTCTTTCTCCTTTGAAGAAAAAAATTTGGCAGGCTGAGATGTTGAGCAGGCTGATGCAATACATATTCATCTGTTTTCTGTTTTACAGGGTGTAATAGCTTTATGTGTAGCAGTAACAAGCGAATAAAAGAGTCTTTTACCACTCTACAGCAAACTCCTTCACCCTGAGAAGAATAGTAAATTAGACTAATAATCATGTAATTTACAGAGGTAATTACCAATGTCTGTTTTAAAGCAAAGTTTTGATAAGAAGAAAAAATCGATAAGTTTTTAGCGTTGGAAGATAGAGGCTTGCATTGGAGTTATTCTAAATCTAAATCCAATTTGGTCATTAAGTGCATAACCAAAGTGCTGTCTAACAATAAAATCCATAACGCATGCAGCTAAGTTCAACATAATTCCAAAACAGTTACATTCTGATTATTGGACCAAATTATTACATTTTTGAATTTGCTTGTCAAAGCAGATGATATCAGATGCATTGATATTATCTCTGACAATGTATACTATGATATTTTTGTTTGCTTGTGGAAGATCAAAGTTCTACTGTGCAAAATCAATTTGCAACTGCGAATGATTTTGCAACTTCAATTATTTATTTTTTGAGTCTCGCTTAGTTTTATACATGTGTATACTAAAATACCTCTAAAATGCTTTCAACCAGGTTCACTCAATATTTTGCCTCATGCATCTTCTCATGAACTCTGACCACATTTACAATACCTAAGGTAAATTGAGGAACAGTCCTGCTTCTGATAGCAAATGTTTGCATCAGATTTTTATGGGTTTTATAGTAAATAGAGCTGAACACATATATAGACCACATATTTCTGAGCGTGATAATAGCAAGTTATCAATAAAGTCATAAAAAATTGAAGCACTGAAACACAGTTAAACACTTAAGCAAACAGCAAAACAAAACAGCAGAGTTATCTTGTGCTCATTTCTTTTTATGCTGGGTGATAAATTGTATATATCCTTTGATGGTTTGTTCTGAAACAAATTGACTTGTTCTCTGTACAATGACAAATAAAGGCAT